ATACAAGAATGCATGGTAAATTCAGTGAACTGCTCCTGAATCGAATGTACCTACTACTGCTATTTCTATTTATTTATATTAACCGGCAGACAGTGGTGACTGAGTTTGTTGCGGCGCTTCTTCTCAGCACTTGCCAAATGTTGGTCTCGAAGCGCTGGTAGGGTAAAAAGATTATGAGACATGTAGAGGCTCCTTAAGAGCAAAATGACGATTTGTAAGAACTATTTATTAGTCTAAACAAATAAAGAAATTTTGACTTTGACTTTGACTTTTAATGGGTCACTGTCCCGTCCCGCCCAAAAGACGACATAATGGTTACTATATTTTTATATGGTATTCGGAATTACTACAATCCAGGTAATAAACAAAATATTCATACAACTTATTTATTGCCTACCCTACTTTGGCTATTCCTTGTGTGGCTAGCGCCTAAGGGCTTAGACCTTTAGACTCTATTATATTAATGGATTGGATCGCTTTACTAAACCGAAATATACGGCTTAGGCTTAAGAAATAACAATTTATGTTTAGGGTTTACAGCCAAAGTAGAACGCAATCTATACTAATACTAGCGGCCGCCCGCGACTTCGTACGCGTGGATCCTGTTTTACCCCCTTTTCCCGAATTTTCTTTGCTATAAACCTCACGGAGCCCGAGANCACGCATTTGAAGTCGGTTTTATTTTTTTTAAAAGTTAATTATTATTATATAGTAAATTATAAAGGTGAAAGTAACTCTGTCTGTCTGTCTTGCTTTCACGCCTAAACCACTGAACCGATTTTGATGAAATTTGACATAGAGATAGTTTGAGTCCCGGGAAAGGACATAGGATAGTTTTTATACCGGTTTTTGAAACAGGGACGCGCGCAATAAAGTTTTTCTGTGACAGACAAAATTCCACGCGGGCGAAGCCGTGGGCGGAAAGCATTTGGCTATAATTGACAATATTAAAAGTAATGTAACTTGTGGTCCTAATGGCACAATGGCTGAATAATATTTGTCTTAAGTATTTATATATAACTAGCGACTCCGGCTTCGCATGGGTGAAATTTATTACATGAACCTTCCTCTTGAATTACTCTATCTATTGCTGAAAACTGCATTAAAATCCGTTGCGAAGTCTAAAAGATCCAAGCGAGAAGACAGCGGGAGCGATTTTGTTTTATAACATGTAAAGAAGATTTTAATCAAGCACCGCCTTCTCTATTTTACTAAATACCATACCTCTCTTTAAGTCTAAGGCTGGGTTGCACCATTTTACTTTTACTTTAACAAACGTCAAAAATCTGTAAATTTCCATACAAATTACACTGGTTATCGTTATACCTCCGGTCAAAGTTAGATGGTGCAACTCAGCCTAAGTCTATAAGGGCTATATTTCACCGGGACACCATGGCGGCGCAACCAGTCGCCGCTACCAACAAAATGTATACAGCTCTATAGAGAGTTACTCACCTGGTGTCCGTTTGGTTGCGCAAAGCTGCATACATTTTGTTGGTAGCGGCGANCGCCGCTACCAACAAAATGTATACAGCTCTATAGAGAGTTACTCACCTGGTGTCCGTTTGGTTGCGCAAAGCTGCATACATTTTGTTGGTAGCGGCGACTGGTTGCGCCGCCATGGTGTCCCGGTGAAATATAGCCCTTAGGGCTAAGAGATCTTGTCTCCATAGCGTTAAAATAGCCAAGATATACAGCGAACACTTTACACACATGAGCTCACAGCTTTAGCAACTTAAAATGAATAAGTACCCATTAAGTTTAAAAGATAATTAAAATAAATTCTCTATTCAGCTCCAAGCATTCACAAACTCCATTGAAACTCGCCCAGCAAATATTTGGCAAACTTGATTCATAATTTATTTGATAAAAACATTCCTTTCATCTTATTGGGGCTCATTAGGTGCTCATTCATTTCTACAAAGGTAAAGCTTTTATGAATTATGAAAGGATCTAATAAGAAGAACTAATAAGAAGACCCACTCAAAGATGAATCAATATTTACTGAAAGTATGTCATGATACGTGTACCTAGGTAGGTAGGTACCTATGTACAGTCGCGGAATGAAAAGGTTCGTCACCTTAGTGTCGGTTTTCGCTTGCAGTAGGTACTGTAAGAGTCAAACCTGCTAACATAACCGTGCAAGAAACAGTGCTGCTAACATTTAAATAAATATGACGTTTACTAACGAATAAGGTTTTGCTTGTTTATTTTTCTATCCCATCAGTGCAATGTTACAAAATGTAGTTTTTTTTTATTTAATAGATAATGGCAGGTTGAACCAACAAGAAGGTTTTAGTTTATCAATCATAAGACAAGTTAAATCGTCAAACAACTTTGATCTGAATAATTTTGAACTTTACTGACGAACAGTTAAAGATTATTTTCTCTAACTCGAGATTATTCTGTAACATAGTTTCAAAAGGTAATATGTGCTCGCGATTCGTTGAAGGAATCAATTTGAAAACTGACGAACCTTTTCATTCCGTGACTGTACGTATCAACACACTCATATATTTTCAAGTTAGAATTTAAGTAGTTAAATATTTGCTTATGTAGGAATTTGATTATTTTCCCTCTTTCCACCATTTCTTAAAATAAATTAGTTGACACCATAAATTGAAGTGGCAATGGACAAGGCACATAAAGGTGGCAGTAAGGCGCTGGATGCAGGCTGCTACCAACCGGTCAATATGGATATCCTATGTTCAGCTGTGGACGTCATATGGCTGAAATGATAATGACGAGAACTTAGTCCTGAAAATCGAATTGGATTCCAATTTGCAATTCGATTTTAGCAACTTTGAAACTGCCAGAAATGTGACGTCAAACCGTTTGAATTGACAGGTCATAAAATGCAAGTTAATTGACTGTGGTGTTTACCCAATCCTTATTTAGTAGAACATCATTCAGTTTAGCAACTTTAAAGACAACTAGCGGCCGCCCGCGAATTCGTACGCGTGGATCCCGTTTTAGCCCCTTAGGGGTGGAGTTTCGTAAAATCCTTTCTAGCGGATGCCTACGTCATAACATCTACCTGCATGCCAAATTTCAGCCCGATCCGTCCAGTGGTTTGGGCTGTGCGTTGATAGATCACTATGTCAGTCAGTCAGTCACCTTTGAGTTATCTACACTAATATTATACAGGGTGGAATTTTGTAATGCCACCTGGAGGGAAAGTACTCTTAAAATTGTAGATAGGAAATTTTTCTCAAAGAAAACATTCCTTTATTTTTGAAAAGAAGTAGAACTGCATTCGAAGATTTCAAAAAATTTGCTTGCCACACCTGGGAAATGACCCAACTAAAATCTGTTAAAAATTACACGCTGTATTTTTATTGCATCAATCGTTAGGGTTAAGTATAAGGATGAAATCTCTCTAACAAACTTGATAAATTAAACGAAAGGAAAACCATGAAATCTTAAATTATTTTAATTAAGTGCAGAAAATTGTATGGTATGGTAGCGAATTTTCTAAAAAAATTCTACAATCTTTGAATGCAGTTCTCTTTCTTTTCAAAAATAAAGGAATGTTTTCTTTCAGTAAAATTTTCTATCTACAGTATTACGAGTACTAACTTTCCCTCCAGGTGGCATTACAAAATTCCACCCTGTATACTATATTTAGATAGATTGAGCAACATAACTCATTTGATAGCTTGTGACTGTTCTATAAGTTTCTTAGCAACATCATAAATCATCATTAACCTTAGTCCAGTCCAATGATGGATGGATCCTCACCTAGTTAATCAGTCACTTTGAGTATGTCATCGCTCCGTCTTGATAGAGTCATTCCCAACCTATCCTACCTATAACACATTAATGAAAATGTAGCCTTTTGTATTATTAATTAATTATTGTACCTTAATTAGATGTTCGTTCATCTCTCTTAATTAAATACAGCATTTTTTAAAGATGAGAATAATAAATTAATAATAAATACGAAAACATACCAGCCAATTAAATGTCATATAGTATTGAACCCATCAAAAAACATTACACGATAAAACAAAGAAAAACCAGGACCTACGTTTTCCCATGGCGGCAACTCTGTCACGTTTTCATTAAATATACACCCGTCCTGCTCTCTCTTATTCATAACTCGCGTTTTCCAGTACGAGTGAAGAGGACAGATAGAGGTTGTAAGGGTGGGGAAGGACGCGGACAGAATGAAAATATGGCCGTAAAATATCAGATGGTGTAACGAAATGATGGAACTACATGTTAATGGAAAGCACAATATCTGTGATATTGGAGCTAGTATTTTGGAGCTAATATTCGGGAGAATATCTGGAAAGCTTTAATCGATAACTCTTAAGGAAGAGCAATGGTAAGTCGGCTTATAATCAGAATTATTTTTTTCAGGTTAAACATAGCATAATAGAGTTGCATAGTGTTGTCAAAGATTTACGTGATTCATTATCAGGTTCAGGTCATTATACAAAGTACTTATCAGTATAACTGTTTGTTTCCATCCAACTACCATATAGTTAATCAAATTTTTTCAACAATAATAATACAGCAAATAAGCAAAAGCTATAAAATAATAATGACTTTGTAGTTGTAGAGACTAGACAGCGAATTAACTTTATTATCGTTCATGATAAGTAAAACGTTATTACCAACCCATTAAAAGACCTTAAAACTTAAAAAAAACAACATAAAATATTGAAACGTCAACTATCATAATTCAACGTTTGTTAAAGTCGATAAAATTTCTAATCATCGATTTTCATCGTTAGGAAGTAAATTTTTCATTTTGAAATTTCCCTCACACGTTTCTGTTTTAACCCAAACTAACCGTGTGCACATCCTCATGTTGTTTTATTGCTCGTATTCCACTAATTACACCACAATCTTATCGCAACCCGAATCGACATCATCGCTCTTGCCAAAGCTCGGCCGGCAATAAAGTATCGAGGAGCTGTGACTGGTCACGCGATATTTTCGCCATCCCAAACATCCCTACACCCCGCCTTAGAGTATCAGGTAAAGGTGCCATTCGGCACAGTTCGCCCGAGCAAACCCCAGTTCGGTTGAATCCGCCTAGAACGACGGACGCGCGTACCCCGGGACAAGAATTAGAAAAAAACCTGTAAAAGTTTTTGGTTGCTGCCCGCGTCTTTGGCTGACGACCGGCTAACACCAGAGGTAAGCTTAGCTTAAAATTTTAATTTTATATTGCCCTGAAACTCTACTAATTAATGTGAAAGATGATGAATAAATTAAATCGACAGCGAATGGAACGTAATTTGTGTAAACAAAACTGTAACATCTACAACCTATTATTTAATTAAAAATAAATTTTCCAACAAAGGACTTGCAAATTATTGCGAACCCAAAAAGCGTTTGTACCTACACGTTGAATACAGTTACGCGCCTTTGTCAATTCGCGCTGAAATCGAAAAAAATCACGGTACAAAAAAGAAAGAGTGACACACGTAGGCGTAAAAGCTCAAAAGCGCTCTAACAAAGGCTCTACGTGTTGCGCTAAAATCAACAAGTAGAGCCGTTTGATAGGTTTTTCCGCCGAAATTACGCAGCGCTCTGTGTGAAAAATTTTCGTAGCATTAGCTTTTACGACTTTGTCTGGAATGCTACTGCAATGCTTTGGAAAAACCCCGGGAATTTTAGTAGCAACACTCTGTATATCAGAATTTAGAAGAACATTCCCATTTTGAGGCAAGCTTTTATGAAATTATGTACATGCTGCGAGATATACCTAGCTAAACGGGTATTCTTAAATTCACTGTCGGGTGTTCTTTTATTGAATTGATACAAACATGGTTGGTAACAAAATTCACTTATGGCACAGTGGTGCGCTGAATCAAAGGCTCTTGGGTACATTACCGGGTCGGGTCAATTTGAAGAACAATACTGATATCTTAATTAATTTGGGGGAGCAACGGACACCCACAATTGTAAAAGATCTCAAATTTTTGTAAATAACTAGGCGGCGGTTTTTGTTTTGACGACATATTTATTACAATTAAAAACTTCTATTATCATTTTTAAAAAGCATTTAATATTTCAAGCTATACAATTATAAAGGAACCTAAATGACTAAATAACCACCGAAGCTTCGTTAACTCTAAAAGCAAAACTCTACAAATAGTTAATGGCCGACAGTTTACACTGAAAGTGCATTGGGCGTTTATTTGTTAATTAAAAACACATTACTCAGGCTCTACCGTTAATTAAAACCCGGCCAAGCGTGAGTCGGACTCACGGATCAAGGGTGCCGCACAAACTTGTAGTTATGTAAATATTTTGTTCCTGAAATTAAGTTATCGAGCAAAAAACAAGTTTGTTTTATGGGAGCCTTCCCGTTAAATATCTATTTTAATCTGTTTTTAGTTTTTATTGTTAAGTGGCAATAGAATACATCTCTAGCTATCACTGGTCTTGAGATACAGCTTGGTGACAGACTAATAGACGGATAGTGGAGTCTTAGTACTTAAAAGGGTCCCGTTTTCACCATTTGAGTACGGTACCCTAAAAATAGATGGTTGGTTTATTTGTCCTACGCTGTTGATACTTTATAAAGTAATGGTTTTCACTGTAATTCATCGGTTGATGGATGAAGCTGAGTTAGCAACTTAGTTTTATTTTATTTTTACACACGATATTTGAATAACTCTTTCACTGCTACGTAGCGATATTAGGTACTTATGACATTAATTACATTATGAGCACCACTGCCATTTTCCGCTAAGAGTCTTGTTGGTTTAATGGTTTTCCCTGTACCTAATAAATAAGAGGCTGACAAAGATCACTGACGCCCGTATTCACAAACTTGAAAAGGAGGCTGACAATAGTGACTGAGTTTCTTGCGCTGCTTCTTCTCAGCACTGGCCCATTTATTGTCCTGAAGCAGTGGTAGGGTTAATACCGGGACGTGTAAAAGTGCTTTTTAAAAGCCTATTTGCAAAAATAAATTAGTTTTACGAGTTTTTTTTTACGAAGGTATGGTAGATATTTAGGGCGTTTTTATGTGCTCAGCAAGGTGAAGTAGCAATGGGCAGGGCACATAGTACGCAGAACTAATGGCTGATGGGGCAGAAATGTTCTGAAGTGGAGGCCACGTAACACAAGGTAAACAAAAATTGCAGATAAAAATTAATAGAAAATTAGTAGTAAAATCAGTAGAAAAATTAAAAAGCAAATGGAGGTAATCTTTTCAAATGCAAAAATATTAACGAAACCAATCATAGAAATAAAAACAACAAACAATTAATCTTAAATCTTAAAAACCTCAGAAAACAATTGAAAACTAAATAATAAAAAAGGCTCTGGTTATGCTAGAGGTAAATAGAAAAAAAAAAAAACACAAGGTAGACCGACGACTTCGTAAAGGATGCTGGCCGCTACCAATAGGTCATTATGGAAATCATTGGGGGAGGCCTATGTTCATCAGCAGTGGACGTCTCATGACTGAAATGATGATGATGATTCTGTGCTTAGAAAAAGGACACATAAAGTACTAGGATTTAAAGTAGACATCAAATAACACCTTTAAGTCGACTTGAAAGTTATTTACTGAAACATTCAAACTGAACTTGGGAATACCTTTCAATTTAGAAGCGAAATCAATTGGATTCGAAACCGGTTTAGAGTGTCTATCCCAGTCAGACCCTTTCTCGCAAATTAAATTAAAGATCAAACTGGGTTCCTGTCTGACGTAGGACTACGTGACGGGCTTAATTTTTGAAAGACTAAACGAATAAGCAGATTTGTTGAGATATTTTAAATAGATTAGTTTTTGATCAGCTTGAAGATGAATTGGGATTATTTTAAATGTATTAAAAAAAATTCGAGATTTTTGGCATTTATCTGCTGGTGCAATCATATTTTATTTAGAAAAAATGCCTTCAAAAGAAAACATGTTGAGGTAGGTAGGTAGGTACTTATATGGAATATGAATGCCTAGGTACTTTCAAAACTTAATAAATTCGAAAAGATTGGACGTCTAATGGCTGAAATGATGATGAAATTCGAATTTGAACAATTTTTCTAGCCTATCTTATTCGAAAATCTATGACATGAAACTACAACTGAAGCTCTTAATCTTTGTATGGAATACGCTGCGCACGATGTCACACATGACACCTCACATTTTGTACGGGAAAAGCGTGTTTTTGGCGTAGATATTGACGTTACGAGAATTCATATTCATATCTTAGTAGAGATTTTTGAAAAAGAGAATAACTGGATGATTCCTTAATGCGAAAGCCACAGGAAATGTCAGAATAAAGACTCATACATACTCTCAAGACCTCAGTGAATTCGTGAGTGAATTGTTTGTGGCAGAGCTTGAAGTAGGTCCACTAATGGGCCGGGGGTTAGACCTAACTTTAGTTTCATGTAGTTTAGAACTAAATTAGTGCTAATGTGAGAGGAACTAACTCAATTTTGATGTAAGTAAGTAGGCAAACGGTAATTTAATTAGGTTGTTAAATCCACATACTGAATTAGTTAAAGTTTGTTCGAATGAGAGTTTAATGAGCGAAGAAGTTTAATCAATAGGAACGGGTAAGTAGTTTGACTATGAAACGACAAGTGAAATTCTATACCTAGCTGTTGTTGTTTGATTTGATTTGTTTGATATAGAGACACCAACAAATCGTGGTTGTTTTCGTAAGAACCAAAACACGAATTTCGCGATATAACTAACTACAGATTTTCGATAGGTAACCACAATGCGTTGTGAGCCGTTTTTCACTTTCGCCCGTATTCATAAACGATGCTTGCGTAAGTGAAGCAGAAAATCGAACGCACAGCTTTCAATAGAGCTCTGATTGGTTCGTGTGTCACCCTGTGCGTCCACGCGCACTGTGAGACCTCATAGTAATGTTTGTGAATACGGGCGTCATGTGTTAAGTGCTATTCAAGACAGCCGCGACCTCAGATCATAGAAAGAGAATAGATATGAAGTCGCGCGTAACTACAACGAGAACCAGTGTCCCCAAATTTCCCCCACCACAGCTCCCACACACACATTCAACTGTGTAAAAACAAAGCGACTGTGAGTCTACGACAACATGTGCAACCGGCTTAAAAGTGCTGTGATTGGCCAGAAGGCGTGCCTTATGGCCAATCAATGGCCGCGTTACGTGACACACACTAAGAAAATGCTAGTGAGAGAACAAAGATAAAATGGAGTCGACAAGATATCGATACTTTAAATCGCTAGGGGCAAGGCTCGAAACTGGTTTCACAAAATGCTTATGTATGAAAACCTTTTTATTATTATACGTTATTATTAACTACTATCACGCATTTACTTTTTAATTATGGCGATCTGCGTACCGCATAATGTTTATCAAAAATAATGCCTATATTAGGCTTTCAACTAGCTCTTATAGTAATTACATAGTTGACAGTTACTAATTACTTCTACTGTTATTATTTTTTTTTAAAATCTTATAATCGCAAGTAACACATCATTTTTTTATTTAAAATTACAAAATAGAAAATTATAATTTACTTCTATTTATCGATAATAGGAAACCGCATTAGAACACGAGCACGGCACTATGTTACGACCGGCACATGCGGCCGTACTGTGTATTTTCACACGACAGTGGATATCGGAAGAAATTAAATACATTGCGCAGTAGTTGAGCATGACATAAAGTGGTTGCTAACTAAATCGTCAATGTACAAGTGTGTTAGAATTTTTATCACCACTGATTTCGATATCGCAGTAACTGTTACGGCACTGAATTCGTTCGTAAAAATGTTTAGTTTTTTTTATTTATAAGCAAAATACCAATGGATTTGCAATACTTACATGTAGTAAATGACTCCATTGTTCCTGTAGTTCTTCGTTTCACTTGTTTTATTGCACGTAACGACGCATTATCCAAAATATCGGAGAACATTTCCTTAGTACGACTGAATCGCGACTAACCTAGCTACGCGGCCGATGTTCGTTTCTGGGCATATCGCGGAGACACGCGCCACGCCCCCGTTTCACATCTATTCCCTTCTATGATCTGAGGCCGCGACACACGCACAGCTTAGTGCAGCAGCCACAAGAATAATGTTGTCTATGAACCTTTTGATGATAATAATTGACTTTCTTCTTTTTTATTGGTTTTTGAGTCTAACAGATAACAGTATTATGTTATCGAGCAATTATTGTTAAA